TGTGTGTGCATCTGAGCATGTCTGAGAAACTTCATAAACTATGAGTCACCCTGTAATAGATAGGAGGAAGGAGCCAAGGCATATATAGACCTGCAGACAGAGTTTAGTCGAGATCTGCAGTGAGCCAACAGTGATCCTCATTCATCAGAATTCTCTCCAGCATAGTTATGAAGACTTCTGTTTCTTGCCTTCATGGCACAAATACACAGTGCTGCACAACCTTAATCCTGCCATTTTATTACAGGCGACCTGTAACCAGTGAACACGAGTTAAACGAGGAAAAACAATCACAGTGAAAATAGGGTTTTACACTCTTCAGACGATTTTCCTCTGTCCCATTTCAACAAATGTAAATGAATAAATCCACACAGATGCAAATAGATATATGCTGGTACACACACAGACACTTGAACAGTCATTATAGTCTACATCTGTTATCACACAGCACAAGACTGTATTTGCTGTTTCAAATTCTTCATTGTGCTGCTGATGAGAGTTCAGGCTTTAAATGAAACTTAGAAGAAAGAGGCAAATGTACTGTCATGAACATCTGCAGCAACTTTGAAGCTTTGAGGTTTTGTTTTTGTCACATGTGACAAAGTGTTGATTTAATTGCAATTTTAATTTGTAATTTGCTGTAATTTTGATGCTGTAGAGTGGATTGTACCCTCATGTACAAGTAGAAACACCTATTTGATTATATCATTTAGATAATATATTCATCACTAGGATGATCAGTTTTCCCACCAACAGAGCCCAGATTGAGTTATATTATTATCCCAGTTTCTGATTAACTCGACTAAAAGTTCAGAGAATACGACGAGGCTATTTACAAAACGTAACACAAACCAAATTGACTCAGTAAATCCATCCAATCGAATACACAGAGGTCCCGCCCTCCTCCGAGCTCCAACAATTATTTGCCAATCACCTATCAATCAATTGTTACTCCTTGTCAGGCTTGTTACCGATGACGTTCAGTGATGCAACTCTTTTGGATAAAATTGGTTAAAATTAATTCACTTGAGCTGATATACAATAAACAAAACTTTTTCAAGAAACAGGATGCATGTTGTCACAGATTCAGTTAGTGACCTGCAACAGGAGCCTATATTTGTTTATATTTTGACAAATGTTAGCAGTAACCTAGTTATTGCATTAGTTTGGTAACCTGGCCAATTCTGGCATTGTAAGGAATGTCTTTTTCTATGATTTCTAAGATGGTTTGGTTTGGTGAACAGTGTTTTGATACAACATATGTGAATAATTTTAATTAGTAGGCTAATATCAAACAAGAGGAGCTCTCAGCCACTTTCATTTTGTCAGAGTAGCTCTCTGAGGAAAAAGAGGTTGGAGACTCCTTTCTACTTTCTTCTCAGCCACACTAAAGTGGTTCTGTGGCACTGTCGATTGGCCCAGGCTGCAATACCTTCACAAGTATTAGGACTGCAATGAAATGTTGAATATAAAATTTAAATCTCAATGGGAAAAATGTGCATTTGCATAGTACAGATTAAATGCACTTAGTTCTTTTCAAGTACTTGCATGTAAGAGAACAGTGATGAGGGCGCAAACATGTACTGAAAGGAAAAGAAGGGAAACTCTTGGACAAACGAGCACTCTGGGTAAAAATACAAACTCAAGCACTATCAAGATGACTGGTTTCAAACCAAAACAGGTGCAAAGATGTTGAGTAGGTGACTGACACCAGTGATTCTTCATAATTACCTTTCTAAGTGGAAACAGAGATGGATATGTGCCTCCATGGAATGACTAAGATTAAACAGATGGATGAGGACATTATAATTCACAAGAAGGCACAGCTCTTAGTCAATCTACAGAATATGAAGCAATACATGAACATGACAGGATTATGTTAAATCCTATTTGGGACTGTCTAATCACCATGTTCTGACAAAAAGGACTGTCTGCATCCATTAGACGTGCCCTTGAGACAGCCTGACAGGCGTGAAAAGTAAACATCCATTCTGTGTTTTGTGCAGGTCACAAGAGGTCAAAAATACTCTGTATAGGAGATGATTTAAATGGAATTCTGACATTTTGATTTTTATACTTCACATGATTCAAGAGAATGTGGCTTTAAAATCCCCTAACATACCTGTGAGTGCTTCGATTTCAGCTAAAGTTTCAGAGAAAATCTGACATTTTGATTTTTATACTTCACACGATTCAAGAGAATGTGGCTTTAAAATGCTCTAACATACCCGTGAGTGCTTTGATTTCAGCTAAAGTTTCAGAGAAAGATTTCTGCAGGACATCAGCATTAGGCTCCTCCTGCCTGCCTGGATGATTGCTCTGATTTTGCATTTATGTTGTGTGTTTGGTGGTATCAGCTGCTGCAAAAGAGTCAAAGTGTAACGGAGGCTTTTGTGGGCCAATGTATTCAAACCTACTGTAGCCTACAAACCAAAAACATGGAACTAATTTTATTGGTATTGTAGAGGTGTCAAACAATAAAAGGCAAGTACGGGTGCTGTTGTTGTAGCTGCTGTTAATATGACAGTTGACGCTTACTGTCAAAAACGTTTTGACTCCATCTTCAGTTGGATGGTGAGACTATTATACACAGTAATCCATGCACACTGCAAAAGTACAAACTAAAAACATTTACACTCAGTCATCTTTTTAAATTCCTCCTTACCACAAGATTGTCAAAAACCCAGAATATGTTTAGACTCATGTATTCATTAAGTCCTGCTGGAGGTCACAGACTTACAAGGCCTTTCAGTGCCCTCAGTCAGAAATAAATAAATAAATACAGACTCCACCTTCAACACTGAGACACAGAATTCATTTGGGAAACATGTTGCTTTTTGTTAATGGTAAACAAAATAATTACACTTGCTAATGGCAGACAATGCCTCTGAAAATCTCAGTTACATGTTGAGTCTCCCGGCAATCACAGAATCCCACAAGTAAAACCTCAACATGCAAGTCTAATTTCAACACAGTTGATTGCACTTTATACCTCACTTAGCGTAGCTGATACACACCGAATCTGATAAGTGGTGAGCGGGCAGCGGGAGAAGCTATTTAAAAGTGTTTCTAACCATAGAGCAAGGTGGTAAGCAGCAGTACTGTTGAATCACAGTGAGTCAGAAGGTTTGAGCAACAAAACTGAAGTCTTGGCGATTACACAAACGTGGCCAAGTCTCTTTTTGAATGTAGCTGTGACTCACGTTGGGAGAATTCCTCATCTAAACAGTGGGCAGACAGTGTGTGTGTGTGTGTGTGTGTGTGTGTGTGTGTGTTGTACAAATGTGGGATTAATCAGCATGGAAAAGGTGAAACATACACCAACAGCAAACAACAACCACATGAGTACTGACCAAGCAAAATAGAAACCATCATTAGAATTTCTTTCACTATGTTGAATCTGCAGATTTTCATTTGATGCCTAAAGCTAATGTTAGCAAACTTTATATATTTGTGTGCAACTGACATTATTGAGCCAGTTCACTGATGTTGTAACAATTTACATTTGCCTAAGCACTTCACAGATGTTGCAACTTACAGCACAAGTAAAGTGAGGCTCCATGTAGCTTTAGCAAGACTGTAGTCACCACCATGGAAACAAGTGAATGTTAAACATAGAAAAATGATACAGAAGGGTCATCAAATTGATTCAGTAATGTGTGTTTTAGAGCACTGTCTCTAAGTAAACATTAGCTAACATTAGCCACCATAAGCTACATTTCAGGCCGGGCAAAGTAAGGTTGCAAAAGAAATTTTCAGTGTGTTTTACTGCTTGTGAATTCAATTGTTAATTTGGAAGAGGAAGATTGTGTTATTTATTCTTTCAAAAATGACAGTCCCAATTTAATCAAATGCAGTAAATGTTGAGGCACGGCCCTGGCAGCTCCCATTTTCTCTAAACAATTCACAGTGTAGTGTTGACAGAGTACTGACAGTGATGCCCAGGAGGGTCCATTGTTTGGACTAGAATGACACTGGTCTTCTCTGCTACAGCAGTTTTTGATGGGAGGTTTTTAGCTAACTGGTAGAATACATTAAATGGTAACATGTATGTTTAATATTAAATAGTTTTTCACAAATAAAATAAAAACCATGTGACTTGTTTTTTGGTCAGGAGTTTATTTACAAATGTTTATACTGCCATTTCACACTGATTTGCTTTTGTCAAGATATTCAGCACTGTAAATAATAATTACAACATTTGCATAAATATGACAGGGCTAACTGGTGTATTATGAGACCAACTAAAATCAACAGGGGTGAGATTTGGCAAGAATTCTGCGTTTGTCCTTCCAAGAAAGATTAGGAACAGGAGACAACTGGTGCAAATTTGGTTCAGAAAAAATCCAAGGAAAACAAGATAGAGTGCACTATGTGTCACTAAGTGAACACAGGCAGAGGATACACAGCCAGTGGCTAATCCATTTTATTTATTTTTTTATTTAATTTACTTTTTTCTGTATAGGGCCATTAAAGGGACCGTGTTCACACAAAGCTGCCATACAGAAGCAAATGAATCGTCTTTTACTTCATGCTATTCTTATTATGTGATGGATTTTCTACTGTTAATTCTGACCTTTATTAATGTAGAGAGAGTAGCTCTGTCCTGTAGGCTGACCGTGAGTTGTCACTGTCACCCTGTCTTCCTTTCCCACGCACAAAGTAACTTGATTTACACAAAAGACTCTCTCCCTCTCTCTCTCACACACACACACGCCACACATTAAGTCATTGTGGAGCAGCCAGTGACGGGCTGAGGCTGAAGGAGCGCTAGTTCAGGATCACAGGATCTCTGGAGCAGCGGAGACTCGTCAGAGTCCGATCACTGCTGCAGCCCCGCTTACAGCCCCGCGCACAGCCTGCTCCAATAAGCCCGCATGGACATACCAACACCACGCACCTCTAAAAGCTTCAGCACAGCGCCCTGGTCTCGCCTGAGGGGGGAAAAGTCTACAAGATCACTTTCTTGGCTCCTCTGAGGTGAGCCGAGGGTCAGAGAATATTCTCATTCTAATATTTTGCGGCCATTCTGCCTTTTACCTTCCGATTCTTGCAGTTGACTGATCGTTTTTCTTTCTTTTTGCACATTGGAAAGAGAAACGCTGACGCTTCCCCGGGTCTACCTGCTCGCCCAGCACCCATGAATTCAGATAAAAATGTGTACCTCGGCAGAGACAAAGGCATCATGCGGAAGAGAGCCCTGCTCCTTAGGAAAGGTTGCAGCTTCGAGATTACCAGGTAGGTGAAGAGACTAACGGTTTTGTCTTGGGCGAGAAGACGATCAGAATTGCTATAACTGCACTCTTAAAGTGCCACTTTACATGAGGCCAAACAGTGAGTTTCTAACGGGTGTCCTTCACCTTGTGCTGTTGTGTGCGCGCATAGATAAGCTGAGGGTTTCCCCAAAACATAATGCATCCAAATGGAGTGCAGTCAAACGGTGTCAGATTTCCAAATATATGGCTACAATTACATCCTGGTGCATGTTATCATTTTTATCTCAGCACCGTGCGTTCATATCGCCTGTCGGACTGTGGAGGTGATGCTTTACGCACGGGACTACGTAATGTTGACAGAGCATCTTAGTGAGGACTGTCAAACGTCATTTTATAGCCAGAATCCGGTGTTGATTGGGTGGTCCAGCAACCACAGTAACCTAATGCTGTCCAATCCTGCGACAGGGACGCTAAGCAGGTTGGTTTAATCTTTAAAAAGATGACAGGAGACAATTTGAGGGATCATATCAGCTCCTGTAGTCCTATATCACAGCGGCACAGCTGGACGCCTCTGAGTTCACACACATCCTGAAGGCAGGGTTCTTGGTGGTAGACCACATGTTGTGCAGGTGACATGGCTTCTCTGCGTGGTACAGCTGGTCTTTGGTTAATCTCCTAGAGTTTTCTAAAATACTGTGTGTGTATGGCCTCCTGTGGGCACCTCCAACAGGGCACCAAACTGGCTGTAACCTTCCCCATCCCTGTGTGGTTCAGAGTCACCTATCAGAAGCTAGTTTACAGTGATTTGAGCCTGTAACTACTTCGTGTTAGTTAAAGGATTTCACACCAGTTCTTCCCTGTTTGCATGGACAGGATGCTCTTTATGGGCTAACACATAGCATACAGTTAGAGCTTTTTTAATTTAGATTTTGCCTAATAATTGTTTTCAGTCTTGATTAATTCTTGATTAGTGCCAGTTATTTTCTCAGTTAGGTTGTGACTGCAAAACATACACATTTTACTGATTGTTAATTAATATGTGTACACTGTTTATAATTTTATATGCACATACAGGTTTTTGACAAAATAATCTGTTAGTACAGGGTAAAGGTAACCAAGTATTATGTCTATATTGACCCAGACTTCTTTAGTTGTACTGTTTGTGAATTGCATTGCTCTCATAGCTGATAATGTTGTCTCAGAATGTGTGTGATGGTGATATTTGTGCATTAGTGATGTCACCAATCAGGCTGCCACATGCACCATGTGCCCTGCACTTTACATGTGCAGGGCACATGGCACCTGTGGAGGTGAGATTTGGCCATCTCTGTGCCATGCTCTTACTTTCAAATTACACACATTAGCTAGATTTTTTTGTGTGTGTAGTAAAGGCTTGTTTCTGTGTGCTTTGGACCCAGAGTCCCATTGTGAGGCTTCCTGGCAGACTATCTCTCAGACACTAGCAGTTTAACAGACAATCAATCAGAGCCAGGCCTGAAGTGCTGCTGCATGGGGAAATGGATTCTTCGCTATTCTGAGATATGAAAGACAGTGAAGTAAAAGGCTGCTGCTGAGGAGAGTGTGTATAATTCATTGTGCTGCAGAGATGCATGGCCATATTTTGGACAGCTTCATAAGGACACTCAATTTGTCTTAGAATCATGGTTTACATGCATAATCATGCATGCTTACACACACTGGCTGAAGTGTTTCCATATGTTCAGCTGTGGAAGTATGTCATGAGATAGTTTTAGACATAGAGCCAGTGTGAGAGACATCTGATTAGAAAAGGTGCTTATTTTCATTAGTAATTAATCTCATATTTTCCTTCATTTTTTGTTTATACTATAAAATGTCCTAAAATTGTGAAAAAGATACATTGCAGTTTCCTTAAAGCCAGTGCAATGTCTTCAAAAATCTTTTCTTCAACCAACTGTCCAAAACCCAAAGATATTCAGTTTACTATCCTATAAGACCAACAAAATCAAAATAGGTGCTAATTAATATTCTGTTTCACTTCCAAGACACATTTTAATCAAGTATTCTAAGTTGAATTAAAACAAGGGTGTTTAAATCTTTATGGAAAAGTTAATTGTGTTATATCTGTGCTTATCCCCTAGGAGCTAATCAGCTCTGAACTAAACACATCACATCACATTATTTCTGCCTGTGGTTTGGACACCACACTGTGGCTAAGCCTTAACTAACAAAGTGAACAGACTGCCAGTTGGCAGATATTCTCATTGACAGCAGGTGGCTGCAGAGTTGCAGGTGAAAGCAGAAAAGCTGATCTGACTGCTGGAACCAGTTCTGTGTCTGTTTTCTTCTCCTCTGCTGGTTGAAGGGGGTTGATAGTTGCAGGTGCTTGCATGTTGTTCATAACTTATAGCATTGATATGTGTATCTGTCTATTTACAGTATGCAAACAGTTGTGCACATGTGTGTGTGTGTGTCCACATTTGTCAGGACTTCAAGGGGAGCTCCACTGATGTGACACTTCTAACACAGAGTTAGAAAGAAGATACCCTACCAGACCTCTGTAGCCTGCTCCTCATCTCTGCTTGAGGCTGTATTAGCCACTGCTAGCATACAGTAGTGAACCTGACAAAACTGCCAGAGGTTAAGTTACAAAGTAGAAAATGTGGGCTCACGTAAAAAATGTGTGGTCTTTTAATAACATTTTTTGAAACTGACAATTAGGTGTGATGTTCAATCAGTGCTCTTTTAGGAAATTACTTTATAATGGCAGTGCATAATGGCATGCAGTTTTGGATGCATTCTTTGCTCCTAGCTCTTGGTCCTGACAAATGGAGAGCCTGGATGTCTTCCAAAAACAACAAATCCTAACCTAGTTAGTCTTTTTTTCATTATTATTTCCAAAACAATTGTGGCATGTCTCCTTGTCAGCTCTGCCTGTCTCAGAGGTCTTGGCTCTGGCCTGTCTCAGAGCACTTCCAGTCAGCCCTGGTTAATTGTGTGTGAATGAAATTAGGCTATATGGTGACACTTGAAGGAGCCCAGAAAGCACTGGCTCAGCTCTGACCATGAACTGGCAGAACACACGTAACAAAGAACCAGTGCCAGAGAGACAGAAGGAACTTATCTGAATAGACGTAGGCAGTGCAACAAACCAGCAAACATACAAGACACTGACCACTAGAGGAAAATGTTTTCTGATGAAGTCAATATCACAAATAACAAAGAGTCAGCAGCATGCCTTCTATGAAAGCAGTGGCACCATCAGCAGATTCTGATGCTGGGAAAAGTAGCCTCATTGCATGGAATCTTGTGAGCTCTCGTCAATCCACAATAGAACATTTGTAGTTCATTTAAGGAAAGGCATGCACCAGCAGGGAGAAGTTTGAGTACAGTTCTGCACCCAAACCATTCATCAGCAGGCTAACGCAGGACAGTGTGTGATCAGAGCATGTTACGATGGTTTGATGTTGTAACACAAAATGAACAAATACATTAGGATAAAGAGCCTGTGTACATCGTAGGAAGGAAAGATTAAGTGTCACTGCTGGAATTAGTTGGCTCTGAAATGTGTCCTGCTCATTAATCAGTCCACTCAATTTACCAGTGTCCTCAAGCCCCTGCTTGCTTTTACATCCACACATGCCTCCACTAAACAAAAAGCTTCTCATAAAGCAGCAATAACTTCAGCCTGTGAGGGCGGCCACATTAACAGAGCAAAAATAGCTCCTCAGCACTTTGCAGCCTCTGAAACTAATGGTACTTCACCCTCTTGCCCTCTTGTTCTCCTTTGCCCCCGAACCTCTCACTTCAGAGGTTATTTAACTGCTTTTGCTTTTAAAATGCTATCAGTGTCTTCATTAACCTCTCCCATTTCTAAACCCACAATGTTTAGTAAGTACACTTCCAGGGGTTTTGCCATAGCTTTCTGCTTGTCAGATTGGTGCAAGACCGAATGTACTGCAGGTGAAGTGCTCCGTGCTGTGTTCACACGCTTTGTGAATGAAAGTCTGTGAGAGTTTCAAGTATGCGCTTTTAAAAAGGAAATATGTATTAGGGTTTGGCCTCTTGTGGTTTCCTGGTGAAGCTTTTACAGTTAAGCATCAAAGCCATGTGTGAATGAAGAACACATGTTTTACATCTCAGACATGTTTCTGTGTTTTAGATCTAAGAATGCACTAACAGGCCTTGCACAGACAGGATCACACTGATGTGCTTTCCGACAGACGGAGTGGAGGTGGCTGTAAAAGACTGGGCTGCTGGGGTCTCCCTCTGTGTTACACTCTGTCATAAAGCATCCAGCAGGGACCTGAATTGATGGACTGGCATTTTTGCTGACTTAAGGCACTCATCCACTTTACATACTAGCTCTCACACTGAGTAGACACAGGTCTCAGACAGATTTTCCTCTGGTATTTGTACGTGTTTGCATTATAAGAGTAGAGCTGCACAAATTGATTAATCAGTAGTTCTCTTGTTTTGGGTTCTGATTTTTTTCTCTATTATATAATTGTAAACTTAGTGTCTTTGGATTCTGGACTGTTGCTTGGTCAAAACAAGACATGTTATTTAGTCATGGATTAATCAGTGATGAAAATAGTTGCAGTCCTAGACAAGACTGACAGAAGAAGTAACAGTTTTAATTTGATACAGTGCTGTGACCAACAATCTGCAGACTGTGTTCTATTTCCATTTTCATTTGTGTCAATGGTGATGTCTTCAAATAGTTTGTTTTGTTTATCAGACAGTCCAAAACCTGTGTTTTTACTCGTAGAGTAGTAAGAAAACCTATCGGAAGTTGGAACTCTTAAAATGTTGCTGTACAGATAAAAGATTGAAATTGACACTGCAGAACCAGAGATATTGAGTTTTGGTCCACACATTTGTCTTCCTTGTCAAAACCTGACACCTAAATTACCCACAATCTCTCAACTCCTGACAGTTCAGTCATAGTTTCAGGTGTGTTATAATAGAAGCAGCAAATGTAGCCTCAAGCTGCTACCCTTAAACAGAGGTGAGGAGCGGCCTGCGTCCACTTGTCCACGCTCTGATTTTTTTTTTCTTTCATCTTTGAACTTCTTGTCCTCTGCCTTCACTGATGCTGACTCAAGTGACATCACATAAGTCTTCATTTTAGACTTTATCCTGCTCCCCCTGGAGCCAC